TGCAAAACATATCCAAAACCCAAAAGGAAAACAAGCCAAATGTTTAGTTTCTGCTCAGGAAAATAGGAAAATTGTGAACAACTTTGAAATAATTAAAAAAGTGACAACCTTGAATGTGTTTGGAGCAGAAAGGTAGATTTAAATCAAATAAGTAAATGTAACCTATCTCAATACTGGAATACTCCAGCACCAACATTTATTCAAAACAAGATGTATTTATTAATGTTAGGTAGGCAAAAAACTCCACTGGCTCACTCAAATTGTACCACAGCTAAAACTACTAGCTGCCACTTTCAAAAAATACACAAATCCTTTCAGCTGCCTCCACAAATCCTAGAAAATTCATGGTTAACCTAAAGCCAAAGCTAACAGGAACTTATGCTACCTTAACAGAATCTGAAAAGAAACATAAATTCTACAAGCCTCAAAATTATGAGTGCAACCTTATGCAATGCCTGCAGAGAATTAAGCCTACTTAATTTAAGTAGGTTTTCTTCCAGTTTACTGTAGCTGCCCACAGTCATATAAGTTATCGTGCTCAACCAAATTAGCTGGATTTTTAAAAAATATATCATTTGGATAGACTTTTAATCTTCATAATCATGCCCTTTGTCTCTCAATGAACAGTCATGCTTTAGAAGATGTCAACACTCCTCAAAAGGAACACTGAAAACATAACACTTTTCTTCAATTCAAGAGAGTTAAGAGTAGAAGCAGATCCTAACTCATATGCTCCAACTCCTGCTATGTCAGAATTAAGTATGATACAATGTTACCTCTGCCTAACTTTCAAATGACTTTGAAATCAAAGATCTGAAGCTGATTTGCAAGTTCAGAACAATACCAATTTTATCTCGATTGGCTTCTCTGTCCCTTCTATCCCTCTATTATTACCTTACCATTGGGATCAGGAATGCACTTCAAAGAATTGCTTGTTAAGAAAGATGAAGCTTTCAAATTATGAGAGTAGTGATATATTTAATAAAAGTAGCTATTCAGTAGCAAAAAAATCCATGTTGTATTTCTTTGTTACTTGCTATCTATATCACCAATATTGTTTTAGGAAAATATACAACATTAAAAAAAGCAAAAACAATTATTTCTATCATTCATATGGCAGTTACGAAATCTGTAAGAAAGAAAAATAAACTATGAAATGAAGAGACTTAACAGTACAGTTAGTCCCTGGGTTAAGAACGCTTGGTTGACAGATGACCCTAGTTAAGAACAGTGCCCACTGTAGCAAAATTTGAGTTAAATACACAATGGTTTGAGTTCATTACACGATACTCCTTATACATTGTATAATACTGTTCTGACTTACATACAAATTTGACTTAAGGACAGACCTTGGGAACGGAACTCATTCTTAAGATAGGGACTACCTGTACTCCAAAATACACTATTAAAGTATTTCTAAAATAAAGTATTCCTACAGACAACTATGCAGCAACTACAAGGCAAGGGATAAAAGTAGGAGATATGGGCTTGATCAAACACCACAATCATTTTAATTAGTCCTTTATAGTTATATTTCATTATTTTAAAAGTCATTTCTGTACTACTTCCTTCAAAGCTATCTTAAAGGAGCTAATCCACATGGTTTATCACATCTTTTGATTCAATGAAAAATTTGTTGTGAATGTTACTCATACAAACAAATGTGACTACTAAACTAGAGAAAATTAAGAGAGAAAATAGATAATGACTCTGAAAAAATAACTAAATAAAACCATTGACATTTTCTTTAAAAAAGTATGGCTTTCCTTTAGTTTTCTACACTGGCAATTGTCAGGGATGCTTAATCATTACTGTTGATCAGTTCAAACAAAGCACAATTCATGAATGATTTCCAGTCTTTGTATATGTGACTTATTTTAACTTGATGGGGAATCTATTTGTAATCCACTTTCCTGGAAACTCAAGGTCCAACAATTGAAGCCAATGGGCAAACATGTACTAAAACTAAGGAACAGAATGCCTTCAAATACATGGCTGAATCAAAAATTTATCAGAAACTGAACTGACCTAGCAGGTCCCGTCATACAAAAAATCACTCCTGACAAACCTCCAAATCATTAGAGCAGCCTAATTTAGTAGGAAGGATAGGGGATGTTTTTACCACGATTTGATAAATTTACTGCAAATCATTTGATATCTTGAAAGAGATCTGGATCTAATGCCTTGGCCATCCTGATCTTGATTAATTTGGGTTATACTCTTGAAAAGATAAGAAATTTCACAGTGAAATCTGCATTAAGAAAGCAAAATAGCATTAGGAAAGCAAAATAGCAGTGGCAAATATTTACCATTATACAAAAACGTATATATTTAGCGCTGCATCTCACACAAATGTAGTTTTCAAAAAAAAAAGTAGCATAAAAAAGAGATCTAATAATAGTTTATGAAGTCCAGAACTCACTCAGAATATAAACTATGTGTCAGCGTCACCAACCGGACAACAGATAAGAACAATAATTTGGGCTTTGCTCTGCCCAAATAGACCTAATCCCAAGGACAACAATCACTAAAGAAAATCTAGTGGTGATTTCGGCACGCATTTAAATTCCAAAGGCCCATAAATTTCTAGACTACCATGGCTATATTGATTCTGTGACTTTTCCATGCCACTTCTCACACCTATCATTGGCCAGTATGACTGTGCTCATCCATCATCTAGATACATTATTTATTCCTAGGTAGGAAAAAAAAGGAAGCTGCATATTCATGCAATTCTGATTAGTTCATACAAAAATCAGTTCATAAATATTAATTTGCAACTTTACATACCAAGTAAAATATAGCATACAAGCATGAGAAGGATGAGACACAAATGTTTATAAAAACAGACTAAAATATCTGTATCCATATAAACCATCTCACGTTCCATTGCTTCATCACAGTGGAATGACATGAAGAGGCAATTATAGATACAAACTTTACTATGAGACTGCATAACTGCAACTATTCCTTTATCCAGTTGTTTGCTTCATTGCTAGTGAAAATATAGTATCTATGTTTTCCAGTAAAGTATTACTATTCAGAGCACTTTAGTACTGACAGCTCCTACGTTGAACCCAGAAAACAATATACCACAATTACTGTCATATATTTTATTAGGCCAGTCTCCATAGGGAAGCACAGTGTAAATTTTCAGTCACAGCTACAATCTTAAATATTTACAAGAAAGTAAGTAATGAAATCAAGAGTTAATTTCAAGAAGAAAACTACACAATCAATTATTTGTAATTAAATATGATGCAAACAAATGACTGGCCAAAAGCAGTGTCCAAAATGAAAATTTCTAACATTAATATGTCTACGAACGCAACTGACTAATTTTCTGATTAAATTCAATTTTATATGCTCCCAAGAAATAGCTGTGTTTTCACAACACAGTGATCATAAACTAATCATGTGGGCTGCGTTTGTTAAAATATGCTGTTTAAATGTGATTGGTTAGTCTGCAATTTAGTGTATCAAGTGAAGGCACCCTTTAAGTTCCACTGATTCCCATGGAATTTACTTTTGAATAAACATGGATAAGCTGGATCGTGCCATAAGTATGTTAACAGGTAGTCCTCAGGCCACCATCAGTTTCTTAAAAAAACAATTAACTCTTTGCACAGATAGATTTAGCTGCAAAACATACTATTTAAAAACACAACGCAGGCCATTTAATGTGAACTCCCACAACATTCTGTAATTTGAAACAAAACAATAAATTATTTGTTTGCTCCAATGGGAGCAAAGGTATTCACATGAAAGTAACAGATAGCAAAAACCATGCCAGTGACTTAGGCAGAGATAAGAAAACAATTTTGAACAATCCTCTCTCGTGATTGCCACAGCAGTTTGAACCAGCAAACTCTTACTAGTACAAATCCATGCCTGAACTCTTTTATTTATAATTGACAGCTTTAGTTTTAGAGTTAAGTACGCATTCACTATTCAAAACGTCAACAAAAAGTATTAATATCAAAATGCCCTTAACAACTGCCTCAACATGCTTTGTGTAACTTTTCAACAAAGGATCCATTAAGTTATCCCCTTACATATCTGCACAACATACAGCTACAAACAAGACCCATCTGAATTCTTAGACACAAAACACAATTCCTATAAATGTTTTAATCCTTAAGTCTTCATGCCTGGGAAAAAGAGCTGGGAGTCCTTGTTTTTCACGTACCCGCTCCTGGGTCTATTTAAGGTGATCTCCGCACACCCAAAAAGGGTGGGAAAAGAAAAAGAAAACACAGAGCAAGTATGGATTCTTTTCCGTCTACAGAAGGCAGGAAATTGGGGCTTTGTTTATTCCAGCTTTCCTCCAGATGTGTTAGTCTACAGGTCTCATCGTTCCCAGCCACCACGAAGGAAGCTGTAGTTCAGCCGAAGGGTCGTTCTCTCAATTGTTAAGATCGCGAGGGAACAAAAATAAACTTCATCAGACAATATTAAATATAGTTCAGGAAGAGTTACTTTTTCACTCTCCGCTATCAGACTATACTCAGACGAGTATGCGCTAGGAAAAACTGAATAATAACAGATCTCACAAAGTGATTAGAAAAGGGACTGAGAAGTAAAGCAAGGGTTGAGGACACGCAAGTCCTTGAGACGCTGATTTTTCCTCTCTGGGGCAGCTGATCTTCCGCGCTTCTCACCCCCACAGGAAAGATAACAAAACAAAGAACTCAGAACTGAAGACAAACCCGAGGCGTTCGGAACAAGGACAAGGAGTTGCACTTCCAACCCTGGGGAGTTTCTCCCAAGTAGACCCTCAAGCCACCTCCCACCTCCTTTTGGAGCTTTAAGGAACAAAGGCAAGGAGAGGGCTGAGAAGCCATTTCCTCCTATTGTGTCCCTCTTGCTCAGCTGGCTGCGGTGCATTTTTTTAATCCGCACCTTGACCCGCCGCATCTGTCACGGTGGCGATCGCCAAGCGCCCAGAGAACTTCCCAGCCACTTTTCTCCGCGTCCCGCTCGGTGCGTCGAGCACTCACCGGCTGCACTCATGGTGCCTCCCTTCCATGCGCGTTGCCTTGCTCCGCTCCTTGTCCCGGGCCCCTCTTTAAAGCATAACAGCCCCTCTCAGAGTCGTTGCTGCATGGAAGGGTAAAGTCCGCTGCTCGGTCCCGGCGGCTGCCAAAAAGCGCAGCTCGTCGCTCCGGTTCCTGTATAACATTCCCGCAGCGAAGAGAGAAAGAGCGCGACGGACTGACCGAACGAGCTCTGACGGTCGCCGCAGTCTTAGCAAAGTTCCCTGATTTGCCCTGCGAGCTGTAACACAGAGACCTCTACAGGCCAACTGCCGTAAATACAGACGCACGGTAGACCTTCTCCGCCCGTTCTACTCCAATCTGCGCAGCAACACCACGGATTCTTCTCCTCCCCTTCTTCCCGCAGTGGCTAGTGGGAGTCGTAGTTTTTGGGCCGCCGCGGTGGGGCTTTGTGGGAAGAGATTATAACGCGGGGGCTCGGCGGACTCTCTTTCCCATAGTGCCTGAGGAGAGGGGCATGAATGGCGGAGGAGGATGACACCGGAGTTTGACGACGAAGTGGTGTTTGAGGTGCGTAGCGTAGCAAAAGGAGCCGATGGAGAGGTTGTGGGTGCCTGTTGGTGGAGAGGCGAGGCTACTTTTTTCTCACGCCGTCGTTGGCGAAATGAGGTGGGGCCGCAGAACGGGTGCGTGGCTAGGGCAGGTGGAGCTCTTTGCAGGGCCCGCGGAGGCGGCTTCCCCTGGGCGGTTGGCTCTAGCCGTGTCTCTGGTTGTAAAACCTCGCCTCTGAGGGGAAGAAGCAGTTTTATTAATGGAGTTGGAGAAGTTTGGTGTGAACCAAAGAGGTGACTAGCAGATTATTCCCGCTCATGTCTACTTTGAAGTAAGTCCCACTGAATACAGCATGAGCTTACATTGCAACCTAAGAATTTCAGGAAAGGCTACACACCAGATCTTCCAGAAGTAAAGCTTATTTACAGCGAGGGTAACGTTACTTGCTTTCAGCAAAACAGTATCCTTCTGGAACCATAAGTGCTAACCATTTTAATATGACACATTTTAGTGAACTGGCGTTGCTTTTTCCAGATGTATAAATTATTATGTTAAGTTGCAATCTCCCAACCACATCTCTCTTATATGTTAATATCCCTTTGTTTATTTATACAAAATTTTGTATATTACCTACCACCTGAGACTCAAGACAGTTTGTAACTAGGAACAAGAATAAAAACACAACAAATATGCAAACTAACTACATTGGTTGGCTTGCTGGAGAACATTAGGCGAATCTTCAGCCTAATATACCCAACTCCAATCAAAGGGATAGAATTGATGAAAAGAACAAATGATAGAATTGATCAACAATTGATGATAATGTGAATTAAGCTAGTTTCTCAGCTCTAACATCTGCATATAAAAGCTCCCTATGATATCTCGTATGAGATTGTTGATTTGGGAAAATGTTGGTAATCAGAGAAGTCAAAGGTCTTTCTAATGTTGCCTCCCATATTCCCTCCATAATCCTAGGGCTCATTAGAGGAATGTAACTAAATTCTGTTTTGGAAACACTATTAATAATAAATTACATTTATTATTGTAACAGAACAGAATAAACAAAATTTGAATTTTTCACCTTTGAATTAGTATTCATGCAACAAGTATGTATAAGCATGTGATTGGTTTTGATATACACTAATGCTGAAGAAGCCTAGATTGGCTTTCAGTTATTAGTGACATTGTCACTTCCTCAGCTTTACAATTTAAAATGCATAATACCAAGGAAGGAGGGGGGAGCACTACTGTACTTTACAGTGATCAGCTGCAATAAAAATAACTAAGGTAGTATAATAAAGTGGCTGCTGGCTAAGCTACAGTTGGATGAAGCAGAAGTCTGCAGTATGTCAAAATGGCTGCTGCTAAGTAAAATAGCTTTCTTTTTTTAATTTGTTTTATTATATTGTTATGAGACATAACTGATATATTATTTTGATACAGTAGTATTTATACAGTATTGATTAGAGATTATTAACACTCTAATGTTTAGATAACTTAGACCTTAAAGATAGAAAAAAACATATCAGTGTTAACTAGGATTTGAAATGTTGATGTTAAAATCATAAGATTCTTTAAATTTTACATCCAAACCTAAATATAGCATTAATAAACAACTGCAAATTACATCAACATATTTGTAATACAGGTACTCCCCAGGTTAAGAACACCCAGTTTACGGATGACCCATAGTTAAGAACGGAGCCTGTTTCAGCAAAATTTGAGTTAAATACACTATGGTTCCAGTTAATTACACAATACTACTTATACAGTATTATACAATAATACTGTTCTGGCTTACATACAAATTCGACTTAAGGACACACCTTGGGAACAGAACTCGTTCTTAAACTGGGGACTACCTGTACAATAAAGGGTTTTGTCTTAAACTGAATACAGTGGAACCTTGGTTTACGAACTTAATTCGTCCCGTGACTCTGTTTGCACCCCGATTTGGTTGCAACCTGAAGGAAATTTCCCCATAAGGTTCAATGTAATTACCGTTAATCCGTTCTGGCGT